GAAGAAGTTGAAAGCAGGAGCAGGTGATGCAGATCATGAGGATAACATCAAGCTTACTGAATCAAAGAGTAGAAGCTCTGTTGACCCAGTGGGGAAAACCTCCTTTGCTTCAAGGAGACCTCAAGAACGAAGATAGTTGTTTTTTTCGCTTACCACCCTGTTTAAGAGAAGATGCTAGATGGTCCTGTACCACTTCGCTGACAGAGAAGATGCCTAACCTTTCTTACATAGTTAGGGAGAGGAGAATGCGTTTGTTCGTTCGATGGTTCAAATGCTTTCGTTCGGGCTCATCGTTTGTTTCATTTCACTTTCTTTTTGGGATTGCTATTCGTTCGTCCTAAAAAATCTTATTTGTCGCCCTAATTAAGTTCATTTTACTTTAATGCTCTTCTTTCATTTATTTGTATTTTAGGTGTCGTTTGTAAGTTGCGATTGTTAGTGTTGTATTTGTTAAATACATGCATTGTCCACAATACAACATTTGGAAGTGTCAAGTTACAAAACAATGCATGTATTGCTTTGTGTGGGTTCCACCAATAATCAACAAAAATGAGGGATTGTACAATCTCAACTAAAAGTTGGGATTGTACAATTAGTTGAGATTGTTGTGATTGTTGGTTTAATAATTGAGCACTTTACTTTTTCCAATTATGTTCATAGTTCTTTTTGTTTTATATTATAAGTGAAGGAAAAATATGACATTTACTTATAAAGTAACTTTATAATAAACAATTCATAAATTATAATCTCAACAACCAAACAATGTAATTTCAAAATGCATCTATTGTATCAATGCATGCATTTGTATCATAGTGATTCATAACAAATTAACAATACAACGATTTAACATACGAACCTTCCAAACGACCCCTTAAACACTTAAATCCAAAACCAAATGATCAACAAAAAAATTGATTCTACCGATAAAGCCAAAAACAAAAGTAGTGCCCTATATACTGATGATTACGATTAGGGCTGCAAATGAGCCGAGCTGAGCCGAGTTTTACCTCAGCTTGAGCTTGACTCGTTAACAAATGAGCTGAGCTCGACCCCGAGCCATTTATTAACAAGCCGAGTCGAGTTCGAGCTAGACTTGTTTGCTAAATTCTTAGATCGTATTTGATACATTCATTTCGTATGTCGTGTATGGTACATGTGATTGATGTAACGATAAAAAAATAAGCAAATGTTCAACATTTATTAATCTTATATTATAATTTGTAGGTGTTATATTGTTTAGTTAATAAATTTTAACTAGTTCAAATCATGTTATTTCATAGTATCGAAACAATTTTGTACATAATTTCTTTATAGAATTAAAAATACAACATATTTTCTTACATATTCAACATGTTAAACTTCACATGTTGAACGAGTTTTTCTCGATTCGAGTCTCGAGTTGCTCGCGAGTAGTTTGGCTCATTTGCAACCCTAATTACGATTGACAATAAAAAATGACCAAATACAGGGCGAAAAACACTACAAATAATCACTAAATACAGACTAATAAAATGGATGGAAAAACAATCCATCCCTCCTGGTCAAGCTTACCCTTCTTCCTCCTTCCTCCTCACGATCAACCTTTTTCTTCCTTCCTGCTTCTTTCTTCCTTCTTCCTCCTGGCGAGCAAGAGCAGCAGGAGCAATGGGGCGGCGGTAGTACAAGGAGCAGCAGCGACAGGAGGAGAAACCACCTCCTTTAGAGAATATAACCGGAATCGGAGTGGTGGGCGGCGGCAGCCATGGGAAGTGGGTGTCAAATTTTTATGTCCAGATGTGGAGTGCGCGTTGTTTAGTGTTCAGTTGGAAATTAGGGCTAGGGATAAATATGTCAATTTAGTCTATTTTAGGGCGATAAAATTTAAATTTTAGGGCGACCTCAGAGATGTACTTCGTCAGCCAGCCCAACATCACTTTCGGACTGCTCCCGTCGTCTTCGTCGCTGCTCGAGGAAGTGGCTGATATTGAGTCTTTTTCCAGTATTGTTGTTGCAGTGACGGTGACGAGGACCGTCGCGGGCGAGGGAGTGGAGGAGGAATGCTTCCGGGACCCGTACTTTGGCCGTGGCGTAGAGGAAACATGACACTTCATTTATATTGATAGTACGAATTAGAATTTCAAGTTTAGTAAAAAAAAAAAAAACAGAGGCTAATGAAATTCATACCAGTGACGACGACGACAATCACATGATAGCAGCTGCTGAGTGACGATGGGAGTTAATAATTGACGCCCTAAATTTATACCAGCAGACGATTTTGCCCTCAATTCCTCCGCCCTACCCCTGTCTTCGCCCCTTCCTGGAAATACAGCCTGTCGCCCGCAAACCCAAAAACGACTGGCGACCCTTGTAAACGATCCAATTCAGTCCAAGCCTCACCGGCCACCCTGCCGCCGAGCCTTGGAGGAATGAGAAGTTGTGTCCTCTCTTGTAGTCGCTGTTGGTGGAGGTAGCCGCAGATTGATGTAATTTTTTATTTCAAGGACGGAAACAGAACTGGCTGAAAACCTGTCGCCGGCGTGTTTGAGACAGGTTTTCGACCTGTCCTAAGCCTGCCGACGGCGGGTTTTCAACTCATCCCGCTGCCGCTGAAATTGGCAGGTTTCACGTTTGTTGCCGGCCGAGGGGAGAGGGAAGGAAATCAATCTCGCGGCCGGAGAGTAGGCGGGTTGGATATCCGTCCCTGCCTCCAGTGGTGGTTTCTTGTGATTATAAATGGACATGTTCATTTAGAATTTAAAGTTAGTTTTATGATTCGTATGAATGTATTATTAGTAATTATCATATTTAAGCATACAAATTAGAAAGGGCGGAGTTGATTGCTGGGAAGAAAGAACGGCAGGAGAAGGGGAAGAGGTTGGCCGGTTGAGGGTTATTTTTATTAGGGGCAAAATCGTCAGTGTAGTATAATCTAGGGCGATAAATTTAAAAATTTATGGCGTTAAATAAGAATCCAGGAAAAGAATAGGGAAATTTTAAACATATCGCTTCAATTTCCTGCTGAACTACCGTTATTCAACATCTGCCATTCAATTATGTCGAACTCTTCTTTTGGCTAGATACTTGGACTTTTGTGCATGGTTCGATCTAATCCTTTTCAATGGTTTGATTAAAACACCCCCCAAGAAGAGAGAGGGAAAAAAGTCATGTCTCTCTCCTCTCCCTTTCTAACGGAAGTTTCCTCTGTTCTGTGTAACGGCTATTTTCCCGTCCCCGTCGCTGGGACAGCTCCAGCTCACTCAGATCAGAGCACCATTTACACCCCTCAACCATTAAACAAAGATCGCAAGGATCTATTGGCAGAGAAGGATGGTGGAAGGCGCGGCACATCAACAATAGGAGATGCTCAAAAGGAGAGAGGACAAGGCAGGGAAAGGTCTGCAAAAGGAAGAAAGAAAAAAGGGAGATGGAAACCACCAGTTTATTCGAAATCAATCTTCCAATGTCAGAGAAGGAAGAGGAGAGGGAGAATACGAAGGAATAGAAAAGCTAAGGGAGGCTACCCGGAAATAGCCAAAAGCAATAAATTGAAGGGAGGCTTTTACCTTGAGCCAAGTGCAGCCGAGCTAGAGATGGAATCAGTCTGCAAGGGAAGAATCAGTCTGCAGAAGGATGATGGAAGCAGTGAAATGATACGGGACCACCACCAACTAAGGAAAATTTATTGCTACCTCCCTAAAGAAGGCTTTAAAGAGGACCAGAAGGGAAGGAGGAGAGTACCTGCCTCCAAGAAAGCTCCCAAAACGAAAGAAAGTCATCCAGCAGAAAACCTCCTGGTAACCCCTGCAAAAACCACAAAAAAACCTATTGATCCCGCTCGTTTCTCCCCTGCAAATACCAAAAACCAAATAACCCAAGAAAAACCCCACTCAAGCACCATGGAAATAGGGAGCAGCAAAGCCACAAGTGGAGCTAGGAATGAGAATAGGAGTACCATGGCAGCTTCAAGAAGCAGAGGTGATCGCCCATTCCTCTCATCCACCGGAGGCAGGGGCATATCAATGTTGTTGGGGAAAATGCTCACCGAAAACAGAGTTTCTCTGGCAAAGGCAGCAGGGGCAGCACGCTACGCTTGGGGAGATATGGAGAGGTTAACGTACAACCAACGGAGACGCAGAACCTCTTCATATTCACCTTCAACAACGAGGCAATCAGGAAGAAGATATGGAGGGACAGGCCATGGAGTCTATCAAACACTCTAACTGTTGTAGAAAAGTACAACGGAAGAGGAAAACCAGAAGAAGTACCCATTGAGAAGGTTGCCATGTGGGTGCAGATTCATGGCATTCATCAAAATCAGAGGAGCGAGGAGAACATGGTGGCGATTGGTACTCACTACTTTCCAGGGATGCTCGATCTTGACAGAGCAAGCTTGGCATTCACCGGGTACAGAAAGTTCCTAAGGATTCTGCTGGAGGTCGACATTGAAGAACCAATACCGATCGGATTCGACTTCCCATTCACAGACGAGACCACGGGGGACGAGCACTGCGATGTGATCGAGTTCAAGTATGAGAGGTTGGTGGAGCTCTGCTATTTCTGTGGAAGAGTTGGCCACAATTGGCCGACTTGTTGGAGGATGAACGAGGAAAGGAAGAGGAATGGAGTCGCGTACCTGTCGGAGGTCTACAACTCATCTCTCAAGGTAGGTATCGATTCGCCCCATAGACTCCAATCAAGCAACTACAGAAGAAACAGCAAGGAAGGGGAAGGGTCACAGAGCTATTCGACAGGCAGGGAGGTAGGGAACTCAGGAAGAAGAAACAGCAGGGAAGGGGAAGGGTCACAGAGCTATTCCACAGGCAGGGAGATAGCGAGCTCAGGAAGACAGAGCAGATTGGAAGGGACAGAGGGAAGAACTTCGAAAGGCTCGGAGGGTAGAATCTCGGAATGGAATGCCCAAATTCCTCCAGGTTTCACGGTGAGAAGGCTGGAGCAGGAGGTCCAAGGCGAGGAGGAACAAGGCGCGCGGGGGAAGGTGGAGAGGGAGATACAGAGAAGAGATGGGGGCGACTAACCTGAATGTGGAGATGGACAGGGGGGCGGCGGCGGTGGAAGCAGGGCTTCGGTTGGAGGAGATGAGGGCCGAGCAGGAGGTGGGGTGGAGTCCAGTGAGGGTGGAGACAAATCTGTCTCTTGGGCCAACCCAACCGATCAATACAGCCCAAGGCCCACCACAAGCAAGAACAAATGGGCTTAATGTGTATCAGCATATTCAAGATGGAAGGGAAGAGGAGTTGGGCCGAAAACAAAAGAAAAGGAAGGGAATGGGCATGCTGTGTGGTCTCAGGCCCAGTGTCGAGTTAAGGGAAGAAGAAGTGGTCTTTCATGGGCCAACAGGTGTGTTTGAATTGGGTGGGCCGGGGGTTGTACCCAGAAGGAAGAATCTGAAGGTTAAGTCCGGGAAAAATAATACCTCCAATGGGAATCAGTCAGAAAGTGAGCAGGAGGGCCGAGGAAAGAAGAAAAAGGCAGCGGTGGTTCGCCAGAAGCCACCTCTTCAAGAATGAGTATGGTAAGTTGGAACTGTAGGGGTTTTGGCCCAACCCTCACAAGATGTTATGTGAAACGTCTGTGTAGACGTTTAGGCCCTTCGATTGTCTTCCTCATGGAAACGAGCAAAAATGAGACATTCATGGAGGAGCAAAGAAGAAGTCTCAAGATTTTCCCCAACAAAGAGTATGTCGAACCGTTAACTCTTCTAGGGGTTTTGCGCTTTGGTGGAAAGCGGGCATTACTATTAATATTATAAGTAGTGATATCTATTATATGGATTGTAGTATCGATATGGGGAGAAAGTTCTTCTGTACTTTTGTTCATGCTCCCACTACCGCGGTTAGTAGAAGGGATTTTTGGGAGCATCTGAGCTCTCTTCGGAGTAGTAGGGAGGATAACTGGGTTATTGTTGGAGATTTCAATGCTGCTATTTATGAAAGTGAGAAGGAGGGGAGATGCCCTCTTAGGTACGAGAATGTTGAACCGTTTAAAAGATTTATTTTCGACAATGCGCTTATTGATCTAGGATTTAAAGGTGACCCCTTTACTTGGACCAATAAACGAATAGGTAAAGATACAACGAGAGTCCGACTTGATCGAGTTTTGTGCTCGAATTCATGGAGAATCCTCTTCGGGGATGCAATTGTTTTTCATGAAAAGATGGTGGCATCGGATCATTGCCCAATCAGGCTTGAACTCTGCTATAGAGGGAATAGGAGGAGAAAGACACCCTTTAGAGTAGATGAAAGATGGTTGGATAAGGAGGAATGCAAAGAGATAGTGGTCCGAGCTTGGGATCCAGGAGGGATATCGACAAACCAGCTAGCCAAGTGCGAACAAGACCTTAAAGATTGGTCAAAAGACTTCCATTGGAACAGCCTACAAAGAAAGAAGGATATACTAGAGCGATTGGATATTCTACAACGGCCTCCAAGAACCCAGGAAAGGGTGGAGGAAGAAAAAAGTCTCATCGAAGAACTGTCAAAGATATGGAGGGAGGAGGAGTTCTGGAATCAGTGCTCAAGAGTGAGCTGGCTGTAGAGAGGTGAACAGAATAACTCCTTTTTCCATTCAAGCATGATCCATAGAAAGCATAAGAATAGAATTCTTAGACTCAAGGATGAAAGAGGGGAGTGGGTGGAGGATGAAGATAGGATTAAAGGTTTGGCCCAGGGTTTCCACAAAGATCTCATTAGAGCTAGAGACCCTATTCCCTTTTCCCACCTTCTGGATGGTTTCCCAGAAAAGGTTACAAATGAGATGAATGCAGCTCTCTGTGCCCCAGTGACAGGAGAAGAAATTAGGAAAGCGGTTTTCTCTTTGGGAGCAAGAAAGGCTCCAGGTCCAGATGGTTTCTCGGGTAGGTTTTACCGAAGATTCTAGGACATTGTTGGGGAATCGGTGTGTAGAGAGGTAAAGGAGTTTTTCGAGACGGCAGCTATGCCGAATGGATGGAATGATACACATATCGTCATGATTCCTAAAGTGGACCACCCAGAATTGATAAGCCAGTTTCGACCTATTAGTTGCTGCAATTTTAGATACAAAATTATATCGAAGATCTTGGCAACCCGATTGAAGATCTGGACGCCAGATCTAATCTCGGAACTCCAAACTGCTTTCACCGGAGGCCGGCTTATCCAAGACAATGTCATTATTGTCCACGAGGCCCTACACCACTTCAAAAACCATAAGAGGGGAAGGAGAAGGGACATGATGCTCAAGCTGGACCAGGGGAGGACCCATGCATTAGCAAGGTGTGTCAACCGACACACCTTGGCTCGGAAATTTTGTGAGAGATCCATGTTTTGTTGGTACAAAAAAACTTGAATTCGGGATTTCTGACACACCTCACATAATTGCAATCGACACACCTTTAATACACTACATTGATTTTGATGTCATATAGCAATAGGTACCAAAATACACAAATATATATTACTTATTTTAATTTTTAATGAAAATGTCGAGAGGAAAAAATCCACAACCCATAGCTCACAATTCTCTGTCCTCTGCTCCACTCTCTATTTGCTAACACCTGTCGGTGGAACCTCATCCTCTTTCAAACTTTTACGTAATGCCTGTCGCCAGCGTTCCTGCTTTCCATTTTATGCTATGGAGTTAATCAAGAGCGAACTTCAAAATCAGTTTTATGAATGAATTTTTACTTTAGTACGTCAAAAAAAGTTTGATTACACCATAAGCGCCAAATATATTTTACAAACCTTTCTGAATATGAAAAGTTGTCGTGTGTCACTGTGAAAAATAAAAAATTACGACCTTAATGAATTAACATTTTATTTTACTTTTTATTTAATACATTTAATTTATTAATTATTTTTTATCTGCCGACACACCTATCAAAGAATCCTGGGTCCGCCACTGAGCTGGACATGAAGAAGGCGTATGATATGGTGGACTGGGAATGTCTTGAAACTCTGCTAAAGAAATATGGGTTTGAGGAGAAATGGTGTAGATGGGTCAACTCTTGTATCAGGACGGTCAACTTTTCCATCCTCTTCAATGGGGAAGCAACAGAGGAATTCAAACCATCAAGGGGGATCAGATAGCGAGACCCTCTCTCTCCTTTTATTTTCATTCAAATGTCTAATGCTCTTACCTTCCTGATTGACAAAGCGGTTTCCCATAACCAGTTAAAGGGTATAAGGCTCAACTCGAGATGCCCGATTCTGACTCACTGTTTGTTTGCAGATGATACTGTGATCTTTGGTAAGGCTGACCTTCAAGAAGCAGAGAAAATTCTGGATCTTATTAGAGAGTATGGGACCATCACGGGTCAAGAAGTGAATACCAACAAATCATCTGTTTTCTTCAGTGCGAATGTACCCGAGGTGGACAAAACTGCAATCATTGGTCACATCGGGTTTGCCTCTTCTAACTGCCACACTAAATATTTAGGAGTACCGACGGAATGGGGAATTTCAAAGAAGGAAACTTTCCAATTCCTGATTCAGAGAATGGAAAAGATGGGTGAAGCATGGAAAAGCCCCCTCCTCTCTCATGGAGGGAAATAAGTGTTACTCAAAGATGTCATTCAAGCTATTCCTTCCTACATCATGTACCTTTTCAACCTCCCGGTGAACCTGACAAAGAAGATGGACTCCCTCCTCACCAATTTTTTCTGGTCAGGGTCAATGCAGAAAAGCACAATGCACTGGTGCAAGAAAGAAATCCTTTGTGCTCCAAAAACAGAAGGGGGATTGGGATTCCGAAGCTTCAAAGATTTTAACATGGCCTTGTTAGCTAAACAAGCGTGGAGAATCCTTAACTCCCCTAATGCCTTGTGGTGTCGACTTATGAAAGGTTTATACTTCCCGAGAGGGGGATTCATGCAATCAAAAAAAGGAAGCAGATCGTCGTGGATATGGGCAAGTTTGTGGGAGGCAAAAAAGGTTATTAACATGGGAGCCGTTAGAGTCATAGGTTTGGGAGAGGATACTTGGATTGGTCAAGATCCATGGATTCCGAATCTTCAAAACTTTGTCATTGGAAGCGGCCCTCAGCAAAACCTGAGGGTAAAGGATTGGATTGACCCTGGTAGTAGGAACTGGAATATTGATTTGCTTCAAGGTCATGTGACGAGAGAGGAAGTGGAGGCGATTCGTAAAGTCCCAATTGGGGAGGAGGGATCTGAGGACTTTTGGGCATGGAGTCTCACCCGAGAGGGAGAGTTCTCGGTCAGGACAGCCTACCACGTTGTTCATAAAGCCAATACTAATTTTCAGGCGATTGGTAGTAAAGAGAAGTGGAAATGGATATGGGGACTGAATATCCCACCTAAGCTTAAATTCTTTATTTGGAGATGTTCCAGAAACGGATTGGCAACGAGAGCAAGACTCTTCCAACGCAAATGTGCCCCTAATCCGGATTGCCATGTGTGTCAAAACCCTACTGAATCCCTCAACCACTGCTTGTTCTACTGCCCTCATGCCAGTGATGCTTGGAATAGCACTTTCCCATCCATTCCGAGTCCTCCTCAGGGCACCTCGTTCTTTGATTGGTTTTGCTCCCTCAAAGATACCATCCCTCAAAGCTCCCTAATTCATATTATCTACCTTTGTTGGAACATATGGAAGGCAAGAAATGAAAGCACGTTCAAGAATCGAGTACCCTGGCCCCCAAACGTGTGTCTGCAAACCTATAGAGAGCTCACAGAATGGTTGGCTTGCCCAAGGCCCCCACCTCAAGGTTCAGATGGTCCCACTCAGCTCAGGGGATCCCATTCTACTACGAATCCACCGCCAAGTAGTCACTCGAGAGTGATTCAGTGTGATGGGTCGTTCTTTAGCGACCCCCAGTCGGCGGCATATGGTGTTGTTGTTGTTAACCACCATGGACAAGTGTGTGATGGGAGAGCTGAAAATCTTCTTTGTTCCACCCCGATTGAAGCAGAAGCTAAGGCGCTTTTGGAAGGAATTAAATTAGCACAAGAATATGGATCGGTGTGTACAATTCAATCTGACTGTCAAGTTCTGGTGAAGGCCCTGAATCACAATCATTCTCGATGGCCCTGGAGATGCGCAGTCTAGATTAGAACAATGGTCAATATCCTCAGGAATAACCCAACAATTTCGGTGAAAGAGATTCCGGGGGCATTGAACGTCAGAGCTGACTGGGTTGCACGATCAAAAGCAAATTCTTGTCTTCCAGAAGACTGGATTAATATTCTTGACCTAATTTCTGTTCTCCTCTAAAATTGTAAGAGCTTGTGTGTGTAAGTTGTTCGTGGTGGAATAAAAGTTGATATTATTTGTAAAAAAAATGGTTTGATTAAAAAGTTTTTTTTTCGATGGTGCAAAGTTGTACCTTTGGGCGTCTTGGAGGACTTTGAGGAAGAAGCTCTTCCGGTCGTAGCGGCTGGAGCCGGCGAACTTGGAGTTGGCATTAGTGTAGACGATGGTGGGATTGAGGAAGAAAATTTTCATTTTCATAATTATAATTGTACGTTTTATTTATTAATTAGGATAATAATAAGGTGGAATTTTAAATAGAT